CGACGGCTCAGAAGCCCCTACCTCTGGGCTGGGAACAGTGGGACTCAGTACCTTGGTCTGGTGGTCTGGTGTCCTCTGCGTCTTTGTAATGTGGAATCAGGTGGCTGCCTGTCTGCAGTGGGGTGATTCGGTGTCTTCCGTGTGACTCAGGACCTCGGTAGGGCGTGCACAGATCTGCCTGTCTGCCGCAGGCTGATTCGGAGTGTTCCGCGGGACTGGGGACCTTGGTAGGGTGTGGGCAGACCTGCCTGTCTGCAGGGGGGTGATTCGGCATCTTCTGCATGACTCAGGACCTCGGTAGGGAGTGCACAGACCTGCCTGTCTGCAGCGGGCTGATTCGGCGTGTTCTGTGGGACTGGGGACCTTGGTAGGGTGTCTTTGTTTTTGTTTTTGTAGTAGGGATTGAACCCAGGGCCTCCAGGCTGAGCTACATACCTAGCCCCACTCCTTCAGACAAGAAAGTTTGGGACAGGTTATTGCTAAGTTGCCCAGGCGGACTTCAATTTCTAATCCTCCTGGCTCAGCCTCCCAGAGTGCTGGGATTACAGGTGTGCACCGCCACATCTGACTTATTGTATGGGGAATTTTTTGGCCACAGGCTTAGAGAAAGAAGAATTTCTGTAAGGATTTCTAAGTTCTTCACTAAATAAGATGCCACTCAGTGTTGTAAGCTTTGATTCCTTGCTTGATTTGGGAAAATGCCTTAGTCTTCCTACTAAACGTCAACACTTATCAAACATGAACGGTGATCTTCCTTATAAACACCTGCGTGCCTGCGCCTTGTGGCATGCTGCCCACAGCTCTGGTGGGTGTGAGAGGCTGAATGCCCCCAGTGCTGGAGGCTCCCGAGCAGCCTGGCCCTTGCATCATGGAGGTGTTGAGGCATGGAGGCACCTGGTCCCGTTACTCCCACACTTCTACCATTCATGTTTTTCTAAGTGGTCAACAAACTTAGGGCTAAGTGTCCTTGAGCAAGTGCCTATGCATTTTAAGTCTGTTCAGCAGGACAACGGATGGTGGGGCAGTGAGTGCAATCAGGACCCCTATCAGCCCAGAGGAAGCCGAGCCTCAGAGGTGCTGCACCCTGCAGTTTCCAGGGTCTGTGCTTCCTGCGGGCCCAGTACAAGTCCAGACACCAAGGGAAGAAAGATGTGGACTTCTCCCTTCCTGAGGCCTTCCCTCAGCTGTCCTGACATCCGGGCTGTGTGGCTCTGGCTTCCTCCCTGGGCCTCTCCTTCTCTGGACTCTGCTTCACTTGAGAAGCAGCCTCCTTCCCACTGTACATCCCTCCCTGCTGACTGACCTGTGCTCCAACTTCCCTTCCTTGTGATGATGATGACCTTCCTCCCAGTCTTTTGCAGTGCAACCTCCCAGGCAGCCCCACCCCTATGCCCCACTGTGGCCCCCAACCTCCTAAACCCCATAGAACCCAAGTGGACTCCTCTGGGGGGAACCTCAGCTTTTCTTCCCATGTTCTTGGTTCCCTCTATCCCCCATGGCCTGTGTGACCTCGTGTTTAGCACATGCATCCTCCACACGTCTAGGGAGCTGGGACTTAACAGCCCCTACCCTCCCTCCTTGCTGAGGGTGGAGGTTGCAGATGAGGACCGGATGGTGCAGGGAGGCCAGTGCTGTTCACACCTGGACAGCAGTTCCACAAGAGCTCAGGGAGTGCTGGGCAGACTTGTAGGGAACCACAGGCCATCTACAAGGCCTCTGTGGACACACACACATGAACCACTTGTCCCTTATCTAGTGGGAGTGGCAGGTTACACACACTGACAGACAGGCTAGACCAATATGACTGAGCAGAAGCTGCCACAGACGATGTCCCTGGAGAGCTGCTGAGGATGGGGATGCACTGGGTGCCGCAGGATGGGCTCTGTCACCATCACCCGTCTCATGTCGCAGGACGGCTGTATAAATGCACAGCTCAGAACTTGAGGCCGAGAGCTCTTCCCACACATGCAGAAGTGCCTGAGATGATGGGCACATTCACTGTACACCCCCAAAACCACTCCACGGTGGACATCAAGCGCCTGCACACAGGCACAGTAAAGACCACTTTCAGGTGACGGTAGAAGCATGTGGTCATAACTTGGGCAGAAACCCAGATGGGAACACAGAACTTGTGGCCAGGGGAGCATCGGGCATGGACTGTGCAGCCTTGGAAACTAGGCCTTCTCTGCAGAAGATGGTCCCACCATGAGGCTTTGCCCAATGCTCCTTTCACACCTAATATGCCGAGATTTTATGAATTATGCATCTACAACTAGTTTTTGAAAATGTTTAAATATAAAGTAGCAGAACGAAGGCAATATTTTTACTTTTTAATTTTTTAATGGTAACTTTTACAAAGTCACATTTAAAAATATATCCACTCACAACTCTGAAAGTGATGGTGCTGCCCTGGCGCTGGCCTGCGGTGTAGACCCATGGTGGAGGGCAGGGCTGGCTCAGCGCTTCTTCCAGGTGAACTTCCTGCGGGCACCCTCCTGGCCTGGCTTCTTCCGCTCTCGCACTCTCGGGTCGGGGGTGAGCAGGCCAGCTGGGCACAGAGAGAAGCAAGTGTGAGCTGTGGACAGAGAAGCCCCAAGCCAAAGCATGCGAACTGACCCAATCTACAGGCACTGCGGCCAGAGGACCCAGAGGAAAGCTGCCAGACCCTGGGTTCTACCAGCCACTGGAAGTCTCATGACACACAGGTCTACTTTCGTTCTTTTGGGATGTATTTCCAATTTCTCAAACACCAGCGATGACAGTCAGGTCCACTTTTCTCATCATGTGGGGATTCAGTCAGCACAGAGCGAGGTGCTCAGAGGAACAAGAGACAGGGACAGGCAACTGTGTGTCAAGGCAGGGCAAGCACACAGACACCACAGGCCACAGTCTTCGTGCACACAGACATGACCCTTCAGGTGGTGTGAAAATGACCTTTCCTGGAATTGTTTCAGAGTCTCAGAGTTGTATTCTCAGCATAAATGGTTTATTCTAGAGGAATGAAGGAGGGTAAGCTGGAAGCCACTCAACTCAGCATTCCAGTGATTGCTGAGCTGCGCTTAGTGTGCTGTCCCCACGCCAGTGCCATGATGAGGCTGGAGACCCGGATGTGAGGCCAGCACTAGTGGGGATGCTCTGGAATGGCTGGCACAATTACAGAGGCTGGCCACAACTTCCGCCGGTCCACTCCTGCTGCCAACACCAGCGCTTTCCTCACCGGGGACACAGTGTAGGTGTTCTCTTAGGGGTCTCCCAGCAGCCAGACAGCAAAGGAAGCTGAAATTGCTTACTGTTTATCCAAAAAGCTTTTGCATTTATTTGTACTTAAAAAGCATGCATGAGCTAAAGCAATATTTGGGCAAAACACAATTAAAACCTATGTTTTTGTTTAAATTCTAACTAATAATGCTTATGACTTTCAGATATGCACAGTAGCTCACATTAGTACAATAGTTCAGTCATGTCCTATTAAATTATTTTTTAAAAGTAGACAAAGAATAAAGAATCTCATAGGATGGCAAATTGTTTATAAGCAAATAGATTTTTAAGGGGCTTAAAAAGTTAAGTAATCTAAGCCACAGGCAGTGTTTCTGCTGAAAGCCAGCAGCTGACCTGGGGACCGGGACCATCCTCCTTGGCTGGAGAGGAGCTCGGACCCGGCTGCCTGGCCTGCAGAACACACGGCGCTTTCTTCCCTGTCTTCAGCATGAGCCTCCCTGGTCTATCACGTGTGATAACACACTCCTGTTCACCCTGTGAAGGGACTTGTATGTTTGCACCCAGGTGACAGGGCACAGGAGTGGAAAAAGGAAAAGATCCCAAACAAACATCACCGTGGAGAAAATGAAAATCTCCAATACTTTTGGGAAAATCCTGAAGTGCTTTATCACTGGGCAACAGGGCAAATTTCTGTGAAAAGACAAAACCAAACCAGTCTGTCTCACACACAACTGAGCTAAGTGCTTGTTAAATCAGACCAAGGCCAACATAAATTTGCCCTGGCCCTCCACCTGGATGCCACAGTGGGGCTCTGTCCTCATTGCTGGAGTGCCTGTGTTTTCTTATTCTTGTTCACATTTGCTCTGCAGCAGTCAAGCCTGAAAATCACTGCTAGGGTCCCAGAGCTTGGAAGGCACAGCCTCTAAGCTGCACAGTGCAGGTTCCCTGAATCCTCTTGCCATTTCGGGCTGGCCATCGTCCCACCTGGCACATACCTTGCCGCATCCACTCGACTTTGTCCTCGCTGACGAAGCTGCACAGGGCTCTGGCCATAGCCAAGCGGATGGCTCCGGCCTGCGCTGACCTCCCGCCCCCGGAAACAGTGCAGGTCACATCATGCTTCCCAAGCCGGTCAAGGAAGTGGAAAGGGAACATCAGCTGCTCCCTGGAGCAATGACAACAACTGTGGTTATGTGTGCTACCCAGATGTGGGGCCTCAGAATCCATGGACACTGCACCAATGTGGGCCAGCGCTGCACTCTCTGTGATTCTCAGTTGGCTGTGACACCTGCCGACATCGGGACCTGGGTGCTGCTCTGCTGAGGGCCACTAGGCTTGGGTCTCCTGAGCTCAGCAATGGGGTCACCACGATGAACTCCTTCTCTGCAATTCCCTTGATCTTACGAGAACTGTGCAAGGTACTGAACAACCTCACAGAGAAGCCTGAAGTCGGGACTCCATTAACACCTGGCTACTCTCTCTGAATTCCATAATCAGGTATCAAATTAATAGGACCTCTCAAGCAATCACCAAGTGCCGCTTGGATCAGCCAAATAAAGAACACCATGACGAAGCTGCATAATAGATAATGATCACCTTGGTATGGGTATTTTTTAAAAAGGTGAAGTACATTTAACTGTTGCCCTCACCCTGCCCATTCCTGGTCCAGCCATCTAAGGAGGGGTCCTGCCACCTGACTGGTCCCCGGACGGTTGAGACAGGCCTCAGGGTCAGAGCCTGCACTGGGCCTTTGCTCTCACAGTGGTGCGGTGCTTGTTGAACACCATTCTGTGCCAGGTACGATGCTCACCACCATCTTTGTCAAGGACTTTGATTTTGCTACTTTGCCTTACCATCTCTGCTGAAGTTTTACTTAGAAAAGCCCATTTATATTGTGTTTGCCTCTCTGTCAGACACTAGCGCATTCTAGACCCAAAATAAGGCTTACTGCAACAGTTAGGCCGAGAGATACAGCAGGAATCTTAAGTGCTACTCTTTGTACCCCAAGAGCAAACCAACCCCAGGCAGATGGGCTGAACAGACGCTTCAAGGTCAAAGCAAACCGCATTCGAAAGAGTGCTAAAGAGGGCAGACAGCCCTACAACAGCAAGGCCCACAAATTTATGTTGCCCCTTTGACGAAAGCTTCAAAGTGACCAAATCAAAACTAGCCATATTATAACAATGATACTGTTATAAGTAATAGCCATATTACAACTAAAGAAAATATAGAGGCTGATAATCTAATTCCACCATTGCACCTTCCCAGAGAGGAGGCAGAAGCCGAGGCGGGATCTACGGGTCTGTCACATGCACACATGGGGAGGTACTGCATCATCCACAGCAGGCGGGCTTGGGAGAGGACAGGCCTCTAGAGAGCCATTTGGGAGCTTAGACACCTATCTGTCTCCGTTCCTAAAATGTGTAAGATTCCCTAACAGACACCTACATTAAAAGGAAAGGGACTAAAATTCAGGAAAAATGGATTTTTAAAGGTTCTTCCTAAAGATACCTCAGCATAATGGAGCGAGAGTGGTTCAGGTAAGAAAGAATCCTAAAGAAGTCTGGGAAGGAGGACGCTGGCAGAACACTGTGGCACAATGCTAAACAGGAAAAGAGATGAGCAAACACCCCAAAGCGGGTACAGCTGAAAGTGACAGTTACACCACGACCACTTGGGACTACACTGAGTGCCAACCAGTCCATGCAAAAAGTTACACAGTGTGAGAACACTTCAAGGTCCATCCTCTCTCCTCTCAGAGGAGATCCTAGGCTCCCCGATGAGATCCTAGGCTGAAGGGTCACAGGAATTTTCTCTTTGTTGTATGAATCAGCATAGTTTTAAAAAGAAGTAAATAAGATAAAGAAATGACTTCCTTGTTTTTATCTTTTCTGGATACTACTTCTTTGGCACAAGATACACTCTCTTTTTTCTGAACTGCTCAGAATGCTAACTTATCTCCCCTATGATTAAATGCTTAGTTAGCACTGGGTGGGAAATGCACTTCCTTTGTAGAGATGATAGCTTCAGAGCTGCTTTCCCAGCTGCCTCACAAAGCAAAGGCCTTCCCAGAAAGGCTGCCAACCTTCACCCCAATTGCAGGCACACGGCAATCTGGGTCTGCAGTGACACATATTCATGTAAACACGAACGAACAAATGAATCAAATTTCTAATGACATTGGGAAGCCAGGTGGCCAACATTGCCAGTGACCTCTTTGCTGTTTGTGTTCAAACATCCTCTAAAGGAAGGACCCAGGAGAGATAAGGAAGCGGGCCTCACAATGTGGAGGCAAGCATATCAGGGATCAAGTTCAGTTTCTTCCTCTCAGCCAATGACCTTGAGGCATTTTGGCTAAGGTCACACAGCTAAGAAAGAGAACCAGGATTGAGACCCTGGGATCTTGGCCCAAACCTTCCTGTTCTTCAGGGGTCACGGCAGTGCTGACTTTCTGAACACCTGCTTGTTTCCCCATGGCCACTCCCACCAGTGAGAGGGCTTGCGTGCCCTGCTCATGACCAGTGCCAGCCTCCTGACTGCTGCTCCTGGTGATAAGAATCACATCTACGACAGGGCTAACATCTTCACAATCCGGAATGAGACTGGGCACAGGGATGATCCTGAGTAAATGCTTGTTGAATGCAAACTAAAGAATAAGGGACACAATCTAAGTGTGAGGTCCAGCCAGAGTTGAGAACTGCTATCCAGTCACTAGGAGTTCTATCTGAGTACAAACTAGCAGACAGGGCACCAGTCAGATGTCCCTGTGCTGAGGCGACCAACCCCAGGGACAAGGTCTCTCTTGGGCTTTTCCTAAAGGAAGCGCTTCCTCTTTACCCTCTCCTGCGAACATCAGGGCAGTTAGTTTAATACACATACATACGAGTTAAGAGTGGACTCCTTCTCGACACAGGCACACATGGAAGTACAGTAAGTGCATTTCCCGAGGTGAGTATTCTGCCCATCAGCCTACTCTGCGCTTAAAGGGTCCTCTGCTCTCCATGACTATGGGGATCTGAGGAGCCTCAGCTTTTCTCACCTTAAACATCACAACCCACCTAAGAAACAGAAGGATTGGGAAGGGAGGAACTCATCACATGGAGTCGCTGCTCCTTTCGGATAAGGACAGTGACTCTGGGCACCCTGGTAATTGTCTCAGGGAGGGCTTTTTATACAGCAACTCACAGAGGGCTCTAAGACAAGCACATTTCAGGGAGTAGATGAACTCTAGCACCTATTTATATCATCTGTTTCTCCATGGGATACACAGTTTAAAAAACATAACTGCCCCAGTTAGCACTGAGAATTAAGCAAAGCTGGTGAGCCCTTACTTTAACCTACAAAGGCTGGGTTTCTCTGCTTGCTCCACAAACGTATAAGCTACTTCCTCTGAACAGGAAAATCCCAAGTGATGCAGACGTTTCTTAATGCTCACCAGGAACATGAATGTAAGCTGTAAGGTCTGCACGTCCCTTCCTAACCCTGTTGCCTGAGTGGGTGGTACAGCTTTGGTGGGCTCGGCAGCCACTAACTAGGTAAGGCAGAAGTCTGCTTCGTACATTCTGGCAGAGACTGCATTTAAGAACCTAAGATACAGCTAAGAATTTTCAAATTCCAGTATGATCTGACAGAAAGAGGAGAAAGAGGCAATGAACAAGAATTTCCAGAGATGTTTCTTAAAAATTCTGGAAAACAACACAAAGGGCAATAGCTTCCGTTAGCTTGTTTGCTCCATTGGTGGAGAGCAGCATCATTCAGACAAGCAAACTGGAGAAGCACAGCTTCCTTAGCCGACCTCGGTGTATCGTGGGACAGACATTCAGGAAACAGAGACCTAAGCAGCACCCACCTGTCCTGTGTAACCGGGAAGTACAGCAGGTAATCCACGCCATTCACTTGGATTCTTCCAGTTCCCTGTCCAGAAACAACTGCTTCTGCTCTTGCAGTCTTTCTTTTACCTTTAAGTTTTAAATTTCTATTAGTAAAAATCTTAAAGACAGGTAGAACTGTGTTAACATTAATTTTCCCAGGATAACAACAGACAACACTGAATTTAGGAGGCTTCTAGAATAAATATAGGTCAGGTAAAGATATAAGTCACACCATAATTGACAAAATAAAGCTTAATGTGGGGTAATTTTATTCTTCAATTCCATTTTAGGAACACTGCAATGATTTTAAAATTAGTTTCAATGGCCTACATAGTCATTCATATTCATTTACCTTCTTAAAAAAAAAAAATCTGGGCATGGAAGTGCATGTCTATAATCCCAGCCCTCTGGGAGGCTGAGGCAGGAGGACTGTGAGTTGAGCCCAGCCTAGGCAATCTAGTGAGACTCTTGTCTCCAAAAAAAAAAAAAAAAAAAAAAATTAAAAGAGCTGGGTGCAATCTCTAGTACTACAAAAAGAGAAGAAAAGCTCCAGAAGCAATTTACATAATGTTACTTTATAAACAACAAAAATATATCTAATATAATATTTAAAATATGCAATGAAATATGATTGGGAGAAATGAAAGGAATCCTCAGGAAAAGTCTCATTTCTTTGAAAATGATGAAGGAAAACTCCCCACAGTTGCCAATAGAGTGTCTATGGTCCAACTCTGAAAGAGTGGCCATGCTGGAGTGTGTGTAGACATAGGGAGGGTGAGCTGGGGTCTCACGTGCTCAGAAGTTTCAGTTCATGACTCATAGGCAGATGCACTGAGATTTTCAGTTTTGGGGGATAAGACTTTGTTGTAAACATTTTATCGATTCTGAGACTACTCATTGACAATGTGAAAATAGAAAGTGCTGAATTGTTTAAGTATATATCCCCATTTTTCCCTTGTGACACTGGAAGGTTCAGTTTTTAAAAACTTCAAGAGAATCTTAAAATTAGGAAATCCAATGTAGCACCAACAAAACAAAACAAAACCAAAAACAGAAAGTCAACTGGGGACCAGGACCAAGAGCAATTGAGACTGAATGGCTTCCCCGGGCCGTTACCTTCGCTAGTGCTGAAGGGCACGCCCTGCTCATCATACTGTGCGGGCTGGATCTGGTGCTTTTTGGACTGAAAGGCTAAGCTTCTGCGAAACCTCTGCACAAACTCCTGCTCAGCAGGACTGCATGGCAGCGCCAATAACTTTTCCAGCAGCCGGACGAACTGTGTGTACTGCAGACAATAAGAAGTCATTAGGAGATGCAAGTGTAATTGCATTTGCTAAGGTTTTTCTATTTTTATAGACTTGATCTTTCCAGCATTTCTTCTCTTGATGAATTTTGACAGGATGACACTCCTGCATCTTCACGCTGCTTTTAAAACTGCGTGCACACGCATCACCTTCCCTGTGGGTCTAAAGGGCTCAATCTTTTCTTTTGAGAAACAAAGGGATTTATCACTCAAAGAAAAGTCAAGTTTCTTTGTATTATGAAGTTGAGATTTAAATTCATTTTGAAAAAAATATTTAGATGATCTTCAAGCATAATTTCCACTCTTTATTAGAAACTGTATCAAAAGGAGCATTAGAAATAATTTCCAGTAAGTTATGTAGAGTAAAATGTAAGGAGTCTGATTTTGAGAAAATGTACCTCTTAAATTATATTTCATAATACATTTGGCAAATATATTTTTGGCTGTTCAAGCTGTGTTACTTTAATGTTTATGATTTCCTTTAAAACCGAACAATCAAGCTATTTAAAAATTCAAGAGATACTTGACTTAAAGGGCAACCTCTTGAAATAAATTATCCTTGCTACTCTGTGCTTTTTTTTTAATAGTTCTTGAACATGTGATTAGAAAGTAAACAACTTGGTATTAACCCCTTAAAATTAGAAGCCAGAATAATCATTTTAAAGTGTTTATGGAGAAGGAAACAACTAACACTTGAGATCCTTAGTTAATATGGATTATGAAACCCAGTTTTTGATAACCTTTTTTGTTTTTTGTCAATCCTAAAAATCACACTCAACTCTGTTACCATTTGCCTTTATCATAAAAACCTGCCAATAATATAAATAGTGAAGAATTTCATCAGTAAGATTCATATTAAAAGAACTGCTTCAAATAGAGCTTCCTGTGATGCAGTAACACGAGAAAGGGTGATTTTCTAAGGGTGAGACATGCACCCCTTCGGGTACCCCACAAAGTTTCATTCTCCCCTCCAGGCTCACCCAGTGGCCTTTGTTCTCAGCCTCCGGTGCAGGTGCACCTAACACACTCTCCGTGACTGCTGTTTAAGCTTCAGATGTCACTCTGGGTACCACACAACCTCGCTGGCAAACTGAGCTTAAGGTTCAAGAAGTCCTGGCCCACTCTAAACTCCCTCTTCTTGATACTGTCCATGAACATGAACATCAGGATTCTGATATCCAATATTGCAAAAGTCTAGAAGGTTGTCATATATAATTTGTTTGTTTCATAGGTGCACACCTGCATTAAGTCCTTAGGACAACCCTGAATTATAAAAATCAAAGCAGCCAGACAGCAGAGAAAACAATGGAATGATACATTTAATAAAAAGGCTGAAAGACTTCTTCATTTAATTCAAGTGCAGAACACTTGGCAGCAAGGCCATTAAAAATTCACTCTGGATCCAGTACTAATCAAATGTCTGACATCTTGTTTAAGCAAATTACAACTTTTCCAAATCATTAATTTCTCCAATATATTAAAGGAAAAAAAGAGCAACTGAAGTATAGGACTTAAGATCTACACAGTGGCAAGGGATGGGCAGTGTTAGCCACCACTACAGAAGAAAAAAGCGTTCTTGGGAGGATTTGTGAAATTTGTCTCTGTTCAAACCTTCCAGAAAATCATCTACATTTAGAAATCATCAAACTTCCCCCTGATAATGAGCTACATTAGAACATCTAAGAAAACAAGACTGCAATTAAGGCAGAAAGCGTCTGGGGGGTGGGTCACAAACTATGTAAGGTGTAAGCCACCTAGGCAGTTGGTTAGGAAGGTGGACTCTGGGGTAACCCCTAAGGCTCTGCATAGTCTGAGTGAGCTGGGGCATGGCAGGTGTAATGTTCCCAGTGACTCTGACGTGGGGGTCGCAGCTCATAGGTGAAAACCCCTGACCTCACCGGCACAGCACCGGAGGGAGGGTGGGAGCCGCAGAGCACCACCTGCTACATCTACCTCCTAAGCTGCATTCATCATATGCCTCAAGACAAAGACGGCCTCTGCTGTGCTCCCTAAAAACATCCTAACGGGGACCTGGAGGCCGGACACAGCACTTTAACCACACACACCGCACTCCGCCACTGCAGAAATCACCAAGGAATGCGTTAAGAGGAGGAGCACTGTCGAAGGAACACCTGCCTCTGAGGAACGTTCCCATTAGGATCCGTAATACAGCAATTCTCTGCATTCTTATGGCACAGGTCCCCTTAAATTAAAAAGATTAATTACTCACATCTTGATCTGACAGTTTTTCCACTAACATTTCTTCTAGTTCCTCCTTAATCAGCCATCTGCTGCCAATCAGGTCTCTGTTAAAATATCATATATATTCTCTTTTTAATTAACCATGCAATTAGTTATATCACAAAAGATCCTACATATAGTAGCAAGTCATGATTTGAAAACAAATTTTTATATAAAGTATTTACATCCAAGTAAACCATTTTTGAGAAATATTACCCTATTTCCTCAATATACTTTAGAAAAGACACTGACTCTAGTAAATGTTTTGAAGAATCAAATATGCCACTATGGATAGACTCATTTAAAATCTACCAGATTTCCTATGCCTGTAGAATTGGCTTTGAACATGTATGGACACAAAGTAACCTGTGAGTGGGCTGAAGAACTAATAAAATTCAAATGAAAGACCAGGAATACATTCACAATGTCAACACAGTGCTCTTGGAGACTTGCAAAAAAAGAAAAAAGTAAAGAAGAAAGAAAGAAAAAGAAAAAGAAAAGGAAGGCAGGCATACATGAATAGGTAGGCCCAAATGTAAAACTGGCTGCACAGGCTGATGGATCTGCCCTCTCAGCGCCTGCCAAATGATAGCATGAGCCTCGAACTCCTCCCCTCCAAGCACACAAGTGCTAAATTCCTGTGCAGCCATGGACATCAAATCCAGATGCAGTAATTAAGTATTACTTAATATATCTAAAATGAAAAATAGCCTCAGTATTTGGTTCCTCCTAAACAAAAATCACTGATTATTTGGAACCCTACATTTTAATGATTAATACTACAATAGTGAATAAATATTAGGGTTCAGGTATGCCAATAAGTGGCATGTTTTAGTCCAAAGTTCACATACATTCTAAAGTGAGAAGAGAACCTACATGACTTTGGCAGTTTCTGGCAGCAGACTTTTGGGTAGCAAGTCATTTCGACGATTTTCGACCTGGAGAATCTTTCCATATAGGTCCTATGCAAACAGAACACACATGGTATAGTAAAAGAAGGCACATCATACTGATGATGTATTTACACTTCTCTGTGAGGAGGACTCCTTTTCATGAGGCTCCTTGATCCAGCTGCAGAGTAAATAAAATGCTTTTTAATAAAACTACTTCTTACCCCAAGTAAAGGATAGTATCTCAATGAGAATGTAGTATCATACACCAGAGCACACTTACCTTTCCCTGATTTACACACAACTCTGTAAAAACTTTACATCCCCATTCCAGTGAGGGTGGTTAAAACAACAGAAACTTTTAAAAAGCTATTTATTTTCCTTAAGTTTTGCAAACAGGATAAAAATTTTCCTGAAGAAAAATCGCAATTCAGCAATATGTACTTTAAACTTAGAAAACTACCTGCTAGACTTATAGTTGAAATACCTAACACTTAATTTTACATAATATTTGACTGTGCCATGTATTTGTATCTTAGAAATTTTCCACTGTATTTACTTTTCATTATTTTATTTCTATTGACTTTTCACAAAGTCTGTGAATGTGTGTCAATTTTTAAATTGTGACGGGAAGGGAAGAGAAAGTCTATCATTTTGTTAGAACTTGTGAAAAATAACCCAGCAAAAAGGTTTAACTACTAAGTATATTTTCCAGGCAATGAGTTTATAAGAAGCAGAATAATGCAATGGCCTTCTAACAGTGTGGGCTGAACAAACTTCATTTTTTGAGGACTCATCCCCAGTAATGTTTATATGTATTCATTTATAATTTACACATAACCCGGCACACTGGAATCTAACGAGCCAGGCATTTAATAGGATGAGCTGGGCTGGGTGTGCTCTGTGGCAGAGTGCTTGCCCGGCATGGGCACAGCCCCGGCTTTTTTTGCTAATCATGACAGCTTCCAATATCATTACCTATGTCGGATGACACAATTTGTTACTGACAGAGATGCAATCTATACCTCAAATAGTCAATAATTTCAAGTGGGGAGGCAGCTTCCTGTGGGCTGTGGTCCGGCTGCTACCATGTTACTTGCACTGTCCTTGCACTAACATTAGGGTCTGTATTTTAGTACTACTTCATCTGTAGTCTCTTTTTGGGAATCTAGTTCTCTCACTGGAAGAAATAATACAAAAGAGTAAGGACTGAGCCTCTGAGTTCATGCAACATAAACACAGGTTAGGAAAGCTGAGATGATATTCAAAGGGCAGGATGGAAATGTTCATTCCTTTTGTCCAGGAGACACAGAAGAGCTTTGTTTTGTTTTTCCTTAAGGGTGGTACCACTGCTAGTTTAGAAAGAAAAGGAAAAGACACAGAAAAAGAAGAAACACTGCACTTAGAAGCTATAAAACCAGGGTGAGCTAGAGTAACAGAGGCCACGTGCATCTTAGATGGAAGTGGATCCCCCACCCCCCTCCCCCAGCTTGTCCTAAAGGTGGAGCCCCAGGCCAGTGGCAGCAGTATCCAATCTAGAACTGGTCAGAAATGGAAATTATCCAGCCTCATCCAGACCTGCTGAAGAGGAACCTCTAAAGGCATGTAGCAAGCCTCCCAGCAATGCACAGGGAAGCCTGGGAATTAGAGTCACAAAAGGGACAAAATGAGTCAGTCAATTCCTCCTGCTAGTAGGAAGGAAGTGTAACCATGCCACAACTACTTCCCAGACATAATTCTAGCACTATAGCAGCAGAGTAATACCCACTCTCCACCTTGAACAATGCAAGAACTAATTCATGTATGAACCATCCACATCTAGAACATGCTCCTCTTATTCAAATTGAAATTTTACAATTTGTCTCCCAAGAATTAGAAAGCCTTGTTGAGCGTGGTTAGGGTACCTTTAACTCACCTATCTGTGTGTGCACTGCTGGGATGGAAATCGGGGTTTCACACCTGCTAAGCTCATACTACCACTCTGAGCTACTTCCCTACTCCTCACAGCTGCCTGGTCCAAAGGCCTGAGATTTGGAGAGTGCAAAAATCAAGGATGGGGAGCCTTTCAAATCTAGCTAAGGATGTACGAGCCTAGAACACCAATAACAGTAACAAGATACTCTACTGCTTGAAATGGATTAATGTTTTTGGAGTAAGCAAGGCAACTACAATACTAACAATCAAATTTCTTCATCGCTAAGTTTCAAGTCAAAGTTTAGGCTAAATTAATCGTAACATTCCAATGACTTTTGAGCAATGTTCATTTTAAATTCTTATTTTTCTTAGAATATTCTTTCCTTATGCCATTTCCTTCTAGTGTTCTATTTACATCTACAAGAATTTATAAATGGTGTAAGTAAAATAATTGGGTGGAAAAAATGTGAAAGAGGAGAAAAACAGCCATAAAAAGCACATATCAAACTTCAAATACGGTAAATTCTATTCCTTTCAGGCAAATGCTTACAATTTGATGGTTATAATCCAATAAATCACATAATGCCGATTACACCACTCTATATAGTTTCTTTTTGGGGGACAGGAATGCTGGGGTTTGAATCTAGGGGCACACGCATGCTAAGCATGTGCTCTACTACTGAGCTACACTGCCAGCTATGCATGCTTCTTTAAATAAGAAAATATATGTGAAGAACATTGCAGTGACTGACCCAGCAATGGCCAAGAATGTTGGCAGGGGGACGTACTGTTTCCAAGGGGCAAATGGTCTAAATTATACCATGCACCATTTCTATAAATTCTCTCTCTACTGCATAATAAAACTGCTCTTGAGATTCTGTCATGGTTAGAAACAATAGTTTCTGGAAAGTCGATTCTGCAGGTTCAACTCCCTGAAGAGATACATTCTAATTTACATCAAAAAATCCTTGAGGGTATAAAAGATGCCAGGCGCTGTCAACATCACAGATTATCACTGATATATTGTTAAGTTTCCACTTAATTTTTAAGGGACACTAGAGAATTAGAGTGACCCCACCTACACTAAGTTTATATAGTATATTTAATAGTGTAATTTTCAAATATGACAGGAATAACCCAGATGTGAAATGCTGAATCATTAATCACAGCTATGATTAATATTTCATAAAATCAAAGCAAGCCTTTCCACCCCTCATGCCATCAGATTTCCATAATGTATGAATCAAATTTAGAAGGTGCCTAATTTGAAAATACCAGATGCTCAGGTTGCAGAAAAGAAATGCTTAAAGTAAACCCTTCCAAGATCATGAGCGACAGGCTTTTTAGTATCCTTCTAAAATCTGATGTGGTTGTATTAATTGTGTGGAAATTCCAATTTTCAGAAGGATGAACAAGTAGTATTTCATGGAGGACTGTGGCATAGGAAAAGTCACAAAATAAACAGTAACAAATTAATAGCAATTATCATCTTAGATGTTAGCTCAGGAACTTACAAATTGTGTTTGTTAAAAAAAATACACAGAAAAAATTTCTTAACAACTGATATTTTGGCCACTGAGATACACAAAATCGAATCAAATAAATATAAATGTAATTCAAAGAGGTCTTTGCTATGGACCTCAAGTTCCAGATGACTCAGTTCCACTGCAGACCGTTGCTGTCCTTTGCAAACACAATACAGGATATAGTTTATACAGTTCACACATCGCATGACACCACTCAACAGAAAAAGGAAACTCAGCTAGAGGTCACATCTGGAGGCAAGAGAAGTGAGTGCACTGCTAATGAGGACAGCAAAGTGCTTGGCACACAGATACCAGAGTTTAACTCCTCAAATTATAGTCATACATTCTACAGCAACTGTACCATTACAAAAGAACTAATGTGACTGAAATCAACATAGAGGCAATGAGTTGGATCCATTTTTTAAAAAAATTAATTTTGCCAGTTGTTAGTCTAGAAACATACACGATATGTAAGGGTAATTATTCATATGTGAGGAAAATGGACATTAAAGATACCTCTAGAATGGCAATTTCTACTGCTGATTTAATTACTGAATTAACTCCTGCTGTCAAGAAGTCTTAAAACAGCATGCAGACAGACTTTAGCACCAGTCCATGGCTTCTTAAAAATAAGTACTTTACATGGTTATAAAATAGTTATCTTACAATGGCTCACTGTGAGAAGAGTCACTATTTTAATTCCGTTTTTAAAGGTAACAGCACTACATCCAGAAGTTTTAAATGTTCACTATGTGGCCACAACCAGGGCCTGAAAATGTCGGCACCAGGCCCACATCTCCTGGCCTCTGTCCCAAGACCTGGCCTCACTGAGTCTGTGGGTGACAGGCCAGCAGCTCCCCTCGGGGTGCCAGTCTTGGCCTGTACAACCTCAGGTCACTTCTGTCATTTGATATGAGCTGGGGACTTGAGAAGCCAGGAGCTTCTTTCACAAGGCAAATGAGCCTGGTGTACGCAAAAGTTAGGACTACAATTTTTGTTTTTCTTTCGTATTTTAAGGTTTTTTTCCAACTCAGCACAAGAGTTTAGGTATGTACTGAACTATTCGGTCCCTCATTTCACAGACCGGTTTGGTGTAAGCTTTACTGTGAAATTTCTCCTCAGATTTAAGTGAAGCTTCTACACAATGATAGATTCCCAGGGTCATCTTTAGAGTTGTACACCTCCCTTCCATCAAGGGCCTGAACACCAGATCTAAGTTCGAGAAGACTCTCACCTTTGAGTCATGCCTCTCAGGACACTTGAGAGTTTTCAACTTTTTGGGCAGCCTTTTCCCAGCACAGCTTTGACAGGACATTCAAGGGCATCCTGGGAACAAAGGGACCCATGGTCCCCTCCTTTTAAGAGCAATGGGTAAAGCAATAGCTTTCTTCAGTGACGGCCAGACTGCAATCTCTAAAATGGTCAGAACAAACATTCCCTCTTTCTAAGCTGGTGCTTGCAGGTATTTTCCTACAGTAATAGAAAGCTAACCATTTTCAATTCATTTTTAGTGAGTGAATTTTAATCTTTTTCAAAAACATAGGTATTAGTTAAAATTCATAAACCTAAACCAACACTTTTCTTAAAATACTGAACTTGCACAAATTGAATGGTGACTACTGAGACCGAAAATGTGCTGCCAATGAGCATGGTCCACTGTCCCCTTTGCCATCAGCTTGGTTGTCCTGGGCAGGCTGAAGCTGCTGGGGGCCTCTGCCACAGACCAAGGAGCAGCCCACATTCTGGGTCTTTCCTGTCCAGACCCAGTCCCTGTCTGTTGAAGTCCTGTGTGGAGCACCCCCTTTCTCACACACATCCACACCCTCTTTAAAGTTCTTCCCCTCCCTTATACCTTTGCTCAACTGTTTTAGAAAACTCTGTTTTTTCTTTCTCTTCCTTTTGCTCCTAAAACTTAAGCTGAGGCCCTAAATCATGCCTGTAGAGCATACAAGTCCTACTGGCTAAGTGGCTATTAAGGAAACAGGAAGTCATCTATTTTGGGAGGGGAAAAGCCAGCCTAACCAGTGCTGCTAAGCATGAAGACCCCTGCATGGTATGCAACAGTTTCGAGAGACTCGGGAGGTCTCTTATTTCTTCTTAAACTCTTTCTTTTTATTTAAGATATCATGTTGGTATTGTTTTGTTATTACTTATGTCTATCTTATTAATGATACTATAAGGTAAATTGGTTTTTACAACTTTCCTGGGAATCTGAAAACTCAGGATCGTTAGTCACATCCATAGGAAAAGAGGAACCCTGTCTGGCCTGTGACTGAACCTGGGAGTGTGACACTTGCAAACTTCCCTTCACACTGCCTTCCCTTTCATGCTTCAGCTCTGTGAGGAACAATAAACTGCACAATTCTTCTCATCTTCATCTTTCCTCAAAAACCTACCCAGTTCTCTGCAAACCCTGGAGAGACTAAATGCAGGTCAATGGGAAACAGTGTCTACAAAAGAATTCTAAACTGCACTGAATTGTGACCTGCATCAGGACAATCTTTCATTAGCTGCTACAAAGCAGCACACACTCTTTATACACACACAGTCAGCAGACCCTCAGAAGACCTGGTACGATTACTAAGGCAGGAGAGGTTAATGGAGCCCGAGAGGTCTCCTCACACAGCTGCGCACAGGCTGGAGGTCGTCTGCCTGTCACAGCCTGGGCCCTGCCTGCCGAGCCTCACATCATTACAGCTGGTCCTCTGCATGGAAGAGCAGTGCAACTCAGTGTCCTTACCCTGTCACACAGCAACTGAATCATGCCAACAAAAATAAACGTAGCGACAAAGATCTACCCCAAGTCTTGAGAGCTTGCGAGTGCTCAGGGGTGACTTCCTGTGCCATGGTGGGATGCACTGATCACACGGGAGAGAAGGGGTGCCCTTGCCCCAGAAGGCAGAACAAAGGGGAGAAGGCACGTGAGATGGCTGTAGCATTCACAGCTGGCCTTCTCACACTGGGCCTGGCTTCTCCACAAAGGCGCTTCTGTAGCTGGACTGTGAAGGCCCAGTCTTGTGTCAGAGTGACAGCGTCTCTGGCGGCAGCAACTGTGTGCTCTGGAGCCGAGACGCCCCAACCCCAGCTGGAATTAGCGACATCTGCTGCTAGGGATGCTGGAGCAGAACTAAAACAGAAGTGCCCAGAGAGCTCCTCTGTATGCCTCAAAAAGAAAGAATATGTAGTCAGATAGAATCTGACATTTTAGTCAAGGAGTACAGTAAGGTTTTATCTCCTGAGAATCCAATTAGTTTCTTTTAAAACAGGAAAACTAAAAATAAAGTTAGGCCCCATGCACAATGTGTAATTTTTTCATTATGATGGAATGCAACAAAACATCTCGCCCTTGGCTTGCACGGTTCCAGCCCAAACAAATGCAAATGGGTTGTCAGATGACAGCTGCTGGATCAGGCTCCCGCACGACCTGCATGCTTTACTCTTCCCCGTGAAACTTGGGATGAAAGGCAGAAGGCAGGAAGAGAATTAATGTAGCATACAGTCTAAAGGCAATGCTACAACCGTGATTAAGTAGAAAAGTTAAAAGGCACAGATTTTCCACAACCTCGCTGCGTGCAAGCCATCCGTGTAACAAGTTGACAGGCCTAGCGCGTCAGCTCCATCATCCTCTCCGACAGCTAAAGCGCAGCACTGCATCCCTTTTCAGAGAAAATTTGCGTCTGCACCATGAAGCGTTGTACATTATTTCTTAGCACTGCAGGGGGCTCAAGTCCATATGGAACCTTCACAAATATTACCACAGATCACACCAGTGGCGGTGGAGGCAGATTTGACATACCTATTTAAATGAACAGCGGGGGTCCTTGGGGCCTTGGGCTGTGCAGGGAGCACACGGCAAGGCCAGGCTGCAGCGCCATTACTCAGCAAAGACACGCTCTGCATTTATCATTCATTTCATTTCTGCCAGGGCAGGAAGCTCATTTGCCCAAGGTCAACAGAAAGCAAAAAGAAGGCTTTCTTTCTTTCCCCAAGAAATAAATGTACCTGACAAGTGAGGATTTTGTCCTTTGGGTTTGCAGAGCACAAATAAACACCAGATAAGTCTAAAAAGCAAAGTAAACATGTATACTGATTCAAGCCACTGAAATCTGACTGTGGATGGGGGAAGCCCCAGAAATATTTGTGACTTAAAAAATCATAGAATGGGTAAATCAGAACTTGACATCACATTCTAAGAATAAAGTGGGTTCTGCTGTTTAAAATTGGATACTGGCATCTAGCCTTGTTTTTCATAGCAATTCTGGGGAACTTTCCCAATTTGCACACTATCAAACACAGCTCTCAAAACAAAACAAAAACTGTTCACAGTACACTCAAAAGCAATTGGAAGTCCAAGTGCATTAAAATCATTTTCTAGGTTTCTTTTTGGGCCTGTACTCTCAACTTCTAACTGTAATTACCTACGAAACATTTTATATGAATAAAGAAAAGCAGAGGTCATGGTCAGCACCCACGGTCCAGACAGCACTATGTACCTGGCCTGCCCACCGCGTACTAGGACTGCACTGAGTTATTTCTCTCCTAATAGACAGGATTTCAATTTGTAATGAAAACATTTTTTTTTGGTGGTGGTACTGGGAATTGAACTTGGGGTCTTATGCATGCTTGGCAGATGTTCAACTACTCCATATATCCGTATATCCTCAGTCTTGTAAGTGAAAGCTTTAAGGACAAACCATTCTGAAACAAATTCTGTAACTTTAGCAAAGATAAAATAAAGTATAAAGCTTTTCATCAACATACTGTCTTACCTCTACAAGTCTTATCTTTGTCTTTGATAAAATACTAGGTAAATTCTGAAGCTGAATAGTTTTGTAGCTCACAATTCATAGTATTTATCATGAATGTGATATACTTACATGCATTAATGAGTAATAGGACTGTTTGCCAGTGTAGAAGAGAAAATGAAATGGACGGCCATCTTCTCCCCACTGGATTGCTAGGAAAAAGCCAGATAAAAACAAATAAAAATATACACAAAGATAGACTGAACAGCTATATTTAGATGCCGTTAGACACATTTATAATTCTAATTAACTTTTAAAATAACAAAAAAATTAGTATTTAGAATTCACATAGTTAGCACATTTATAATGCAAATGCTTAGAATATTTAATATTTCATACTCATTAGCAGAGAACAATGTTTATATTTACTACAACATTCTACCATGAGAATCTCTATAATTTGTTTTAAATAAAAACACATAAAATAGCCCAAATTACCTTCTTAGATAAAAGTTATATTTAGCCATCAATACACAATGCACTCCCTCACTCAGAGGAAACTGACAGTCAACAATGCAGTATACTCTAGAGAACTGGAAACAGGCATAATCTCACAAATTAAACTACAGAATTTATCTTTCTATGCTGTGTCATTTGTTTCAACGCTGTGGCAATACACCTCTGAGGGTTTAAAGCATGGACAGCAAAGGAACTATGTGTAATTCCTTCTGAAATATAGATAGGCATTCCCTTCTAACAACCACCAACCAACCTGAGAAATGGCGCGACTGCGGTAAATAAGCCGGACACGGACTCTGCGGCCTTTGCCCGAGTTTCTGTTGAGTCACTTCTCTGTTAACCATTTGCAGTAACTCTTGTACACTGAGACAAGAACTGTACCTCCCCAACCTGCACATGAGCTGTAAACTATTTCCCTAGTCTGCCACTTGCCTGTTACTTTGCTTGTGACATTTTTCAAGATTGAGAAGTCAAAAATATGCAACATATAGTCAGATTTGTTGCTTTTTCTCTATGGCTGTATTCCTCAACCACTTTTTCATTACAGATCCCACCAAGGAGGCTCTGGGACACCTTTTCCCTAAGGTAAGCGCCCTCTGCATGACACCTCACTGTGGACCTCTGGAGGGCCGCAAGCCACTGGAGCAGCATGGTTCTCTCAGTTCTTTGAAACAACCCTTGTCCTCTCCAAGAAGGCAGGCTTTAAAAGGCTCTGGCTTCTCTCAAACTATTTTCTCCTGGAATTTTTATTTATTTTCACGTTCAGATATTTAATTTATCTGGAATTCATGTTTATGAAGCAGAAAGCCAACCATTATTTGGTCCAGTAAGAGGGCCTCTGTCCATCTGTGGTGTTTTGAATGGTATATGCTTTTCTCCTGAGATCCTGCCTGAATCACATGTAGGACATCTTTCTTCTCTAAGGAAAACCAGCCCAGTCAGACACAGGCACTTTATGTGAATACACTTAAAATGAATGGCGTCATAAACAGTGAAGAAAGTCTCGACTGAGCATTTAGACTGAAAGGTAAAATCATATTATTTGTCAGTGGCTTACGGATCATCTAAATACTTGTCCCTCATCATTTTCACAGACTTCATGAAATCCCACATACTTTCTAGTATTTGTATCTTTACTAAGCATGGATTTTGACTGTACTGCTAAAGTAGTTAGGAAGTAACAAAAATGATAAGCAGTATCGGTGTAGACAAGGCTATAAAGTTAAGCTTGGGCAGATGTTGGAATTAAGCCTTAAAATGGGTGGGTGTGCATGTGCGTGACTGCGTGTCCATGTATCCATATATACACGTGTCCATATATACACACACTTGACTTCGGTATGTATGTACTATATTCATGCACATACATACACATTTGGTATGTACACACATATTTGACTTCACTGAAACTAAGGTGTCATGGTTTTCAGGTACCTGTAATGGTTTATATCTAGATGTCCCCCCAAAGCCTCATGCCTCATAGGTGAGCCTTTGGGGAGATGAATGGATCATGGGTGTGTAACAGTGGATCATGCACGTGTGATACTGGGTGGACTAGTCTACTAATTGGTTCAGCAGAGTTCTGGGGGTGGAGGATGGACTTACTGAAGAGGGAAGACCACCCTGGGTGTGGGCAGCACCAACCCATAGGCTTGTAGCATGGATGGAATAAAAAAGAAAAGAAGGAAGGTTCTCTGTTTCCTGTCCTCCATGTCCTGAGCAGCTGTCCTCTCCCATGCCCCTCTGCCACACTACCCTGCCTTGGAGCCAGCCGACTATGGACTGAAACCTCTACAAACTATGAGCCAAATAAACCTTTCCTTCTTTAACTTGTGGGTGATGCATATTCTGTCCCAGTAAGAGGAAAGTAGTTAAGGCAGTACCCCACCATGTATTTATAAAGTACCACAAAGTAAAAGGAAAATGCTGTGGAACAATAGCATGTAACAGAGTTTATACTACTTGAAAAGTAGATCCTGTTGTCAAAGATGCTAAAATTTGAAAAAAGGATCTTAGAATTCACAAAAAACTGACATAAGCAAATGCTGGCCCTGCATGTCCGACTCTGCTCATGGTCCACCTATTCCGTACCATAACCACCATGTTAATCATCAGAACTTTCTGCTGCATTTTGATACAAGGTACTGGAAACATCCCTCATTCCCCTTTTCAAAAATTCTCACCTTCTTGCACCTTTAAGGCATACCAAGACATTAACTGGTAATTTATTAATCTTGAAAGCATCAACTTTGAATATTGTCTTCCTTTACAAGAATATGGAATCTTTTTTTCAACTACTCAGATTTTTCACTAAATACCCTTACCTAAGTTTTACAATTTTCTATGTAAGTCTCTTACAGATTTTGTACATTTTATTATTTGTAAATAGTTCAGGTTCTTTTTTGCTGTTCATTCTGTCTCCTCCCATTCAGTTATCTATAACAAAGAACAGATTTCAAAATAATGACTTAAATCACACAAGTAACAGACTGTTTTTACAGAGATTAAATATTAGAATTCCTTGGACAAAGGCATGGGGAGTTTACTGTTCCAGACTCTGTGCATATACACATGTGTACTGCATGAAACTGAGTATGACTTGTATATTTTTTTGAAGCAAACAAACATAAGTGCTATTATCTTGCATTTACAAGTCATACTACACCATTTTTAGTTGCTTTTCTAACCTGACTTCGCAACTAGATCAACCTCTTTTTACCAACTGCACATATTCCGTGGTATGATTCTCACAGTTTCTTTTGCTACTTGGTGATAAATATTTAGATTGTTTCCAATTTGTTTCTTGAAAAATAATATTTACAATTTCTAATCAATTGGGTAATAAAACAGTCTCTTGTTATTGTGTTACAAGATATTATTTCTGGTCTCTGATATTTTCAAATGTTTACTGGCTACTTTTTATTTTCTTCATTTATGAGTTGCTTATTTTCCAAAACAGTAAGCTGTTTTGCTGTTTGTTTTTAAGAGTAATTTATTTAGATATCATTATTTGGGTATCATGTTTCAAATTTTCTAGTCTTTTTGTCAGAGAAGTTTTTATCTTCGACATAGTTTATCATCTTTGCCTTTTGCTTTGTGACTTAAGGGCATAACATCTATCATTTAAAAAATATGGACAGCTGTATACTTATTCCATTAACCACTTTATTTAATTGTTCTACCATTTGAATTTAATTTCAAAGACACACACAACTTTTAAAAGTCTTAACCCAACTGTTATCTTCTCAACACAATCTGTTTTTTTTAACATTCCACTAAATGAATTAAAAGGCAGTTGTACACATGTATGCATCTGTATGTAGATGTAAGTATATATTTGTACACTTGGGATTCAGTGTTTTTAAAATGGTTCTTGTCTGCCAAGACTTACGAAGACAGAGAGACAGCCCTCCATTGTTACCAATAAGCCCAGTCTGGTAACTAGGCCACTCGACCCCATCCTCACTGATCTCTTCCTGTGTGCTTCAGTCGTCATGGTACCACTACCTGCTTCTGTGGTTTCCACCGTCAGCTCTTCAACCTTCTTCTACACTGTGGCGTGGTTCATAGAAGTGTCTTTTGAAAATTTGTTCAGAACCATGCACACTTTCAATGTTTTGAGTTCAGATAATATTTATGGTTTAAGGTTTTTCATTCTCTCAATCACAACATCTGTGATTAACAACTGATTTTCCTAACTTAGGGGAGCTCAAAGCCACATGTGTTTTGCCTTTCTTATTTGTAAAAAAATCACACTGGTAAGACTTCTAAAATCTTAAGTAACAGAAGCAAGTGTGGGCACCTTCTCACACCTGAGTGAGTGGAATCTAATGGAGTATTTTGTAATTGATATGTTTCTGTTCCTCATTATAGTCTTTCTCAAACTTTTATTTCTTGTGTAAACATTTTTACCAAAAAAAGTCAAAGCTCAATTTTGTTAGATGACTTTATTTTTTCTCTACAGATACATTTTGCTCTTCACACAAAGAATTATATTAATACATTTCCGATGTTAAGCCATCCTTAAATTCCTGGGGAAAAATGTTCTCTGTTATATACTGAAGAACTTTAAAATTGAGTTTGGAGCTTTCCTCCTTTTTTTTCATGCATGTCATACAAGTTACCTTTCCTTTAAGGTCTGACAGAACTCACTGACAGGACCTTTTGGGAATGTGCCTTTTGTCAGAACTTTGACTTTTTTGTAGTTAGTCTAATCTGAATTTTTAAGGTAAGAAAACTGTGGCAATTAAACTATCCTTAAAGCCACCTGTGTGAGAGTCAGTGCGATAGAAAAGTACTATACAATAAGACAGGCCCTTGCCTTGCCTCCATTTTTCCACAGAATTTTGTTTTGGAAATGTAAGTTTGTGCTGCTGGGCTCCTGCTCAATGTACCAAAATGGTTTGTGGCTGTTTGAACACTGTGACCTTTCAGAAATAGTGTTAAACTCTGCCCCCTCACAAGAAGGTTCTGTTAAGCTCCGCCCCCTCTCAGGAATATTCTGTAACTGCTCAGTTTGTGCTCTGGGCAGCATTCCTGTCCAATGTATCAAAATGGTTTGTGACGGTTTGAACTGTGTGACCTTTCAGGAATGTACTGTTAAACCTGCCCCCCTCAGAAGAAGGTTCTGTTAAGCTCCAACCCCTCTCAGGAATGTTCTGTAACTCCAGCCCCTGCTTCATTGAGCATGCTCACAAGGCATGTGCTTCAGGAATGTTCTGTAGCTCCACCCCTTTACTTCAGGAATGTTCTGTAACTCTGCCCCCTTGCTTCATTGAGCATGCTAGCCTACCCTGTAGATCCCTATATAAGGAGGCTCTCATTTCTGATAGGGCGCTCTGACTCCTATGAGCCTGCAGGGGCTTGTTAGTGTAATAAAGGTTTTTTCTCCACCTCTTCTACTGACCATCAGATTCTCGAGTCTTATGAGATCTGTGATCCAGAGCTGCCACACTGAGCTCAGCTGTGCCTCAGGGCTGTGGCATTTGGCTGCAACACTGAGCTGTTAACACTTGGTTATTGCACTGAGCTGCTCTGCTCTGCTGCAACAAGTGAAAGGTTGGTCACAGACATGTCCTGGGGTCACAAGGGCCTATTTACCTGCTGGCCACTTTTTGGCTGTAAGTCTTTGGGAAGTTAAGCTCAATGTACTCTACTTCCCACATCTATGAAGTGAGGAAAATAATAGTGTGTGCTCAAGAAACTATTGTGAAGGTTTTGATATGTACAAAACACTATGAACTGACTGGCCTATTCCAAATTTCAATGAATACTAGCTATTGTTGGGGAGATTGTTCAAATTAATTAGAATAAAGTCCTTATAACAATCTTATATTTAAAAAATATTCTCTGAATGTTATTAAAATTCTTAAAAGTAGGCTTAATACTGACTGCTCAGTGGTAGAGCACTCGCTTGTCCTTTGTGAGACCATGGGTTTAATCCCCAGGATTACAAAACCAAAGACAAACAAATCCAAACAAGAAACCTAAAAACCTCACTTAATATATTCTTTCATGCTTTTTTTCCTTGATCAAATTTTCCTGAAGTTAACTGATTTCATTGGTTTTTTCTAAGAACTACTTGGTTTTATTTATCTTATCCTTTCTTTTGAATTTTTTCATTATTGATTTAGTTATTCTTTCTAGTGACTTCCTAAACTGAATACTTACCTCATTTATTTTCAGCCTCTTAAAATTACCAGCAGCATACATTTGTCTCTGCACTATACAATGTCCATGCCCCACAGGGCTGGATAGGAACTACTCCCACTGTCATGTATTTCATTTTGTGTTTAACTCAACAGCGGTATGGTTCTATTGATTATAAGACAGAAAATCTAACTGATATGGTTTCTACTTTTCTGATTTTATTGGTTTTCTCTATGGCCTACTATATCATAATTCTACTAATATTCCAAAGGCATCTGCATAGAAAATGTATTCTTTGCTGGCCACAGTAGCATGCCTATAGTCCTAGTTACTTGGAAGGCTGAGGCAAGAAGATCATAAATTCAAGGCCAGCCTGGCCAACTTAGCAAGACTCTGTTTCAAAGTAAAATTTAAAAAGGGGATGGGGACTGTAGCTCAGTTGTAGAAAGCAGGAGGCCTGGATTAGCTCCTCAGTAAGGCAAGAAAGAAGGATTATTCTTTGGATTTGTGTCTCTAGCTATAAAATCATGCTGTGTTGTTCTAATTCTTTATAGCATTAGTTAAAAGCTTTTGCTTTACAACAATGCAGTGCTAAATGTTTAGTGCGACAGGGTGGTCAAATCTACTGTGGGGGATAATAGGATTTATTGATATAAATGAGCACCCTTGCCTCACAGAATGGTTCTCCAGCTCCTCTGGGTCCATGGTGTACAGCCTGGGTGCTTCTTGCTACAGCCATGAACCCGGCATACATCTTCATTTTTCCAGTATTTTGGCACCAGCAAAGGAAGTTTCTTCAGTTAACTCAATCTAGAAGCTTCTATCTTTCAATAAGGGAAGTGGCAGTACAAGTAGCATAATCTATCCAAATCTAAAGTTTACTGCTATTTTTTAAACCCACAAAAATTAGTTTGTCTTGTATTTACAAAGTACAAATTGGAAGGTAGGCAGCAAAAAGTATGTTGGTAATTCTAAGGGCATAATTTAAATATAGTTAACTGCAATCGACTTAAGATAATCCTAATGACATGTTTTCAAAATAACACACGGACATTGTGCAGGGATATATAGAAGTTTCAGTTGTTCCATTTCAGCTTTTAGCAACGATGATCTTCTAATGATGAGAGACTGGTACAAGACTTCAAGGAACAAGCAGATGAATTAGAAGAGACACAACTAGTAGAGATGGATGGAACAAAGAGAAGAAGAGGTACAGGTGGGGAGCTGAGAGGCTGAAAACTAGAGTAGGAAACAAACAAAATTCCTGCCATGAGAGACATTTAGAGAGAAGTCACTGGCCTCAGCACTGTGCTGTGCTTGTGTCACAATGCAAGACTGTGCTGCACCTTTAAAACTGATTCATGCTTTCAATACAACTTCCCCTCACTTCCCCAGGAGCAATATTAAATTTATATTTTTCATTTTATAATTAAGCAGGTCTAAGAAGTAAGGAAGTAGGAAAGGTAGAATATATTTATTAAAAAACTCAAATAGAAGTTATCATTTCAAAGAGTGAAGTGAAACAGGAGAACAGAATGCTGAGATCTGAAAAGAGTTAGGACTTGGCAGAAACATTAATGTAATAGAACAGAAATAAATTTTCTATGGAAATATGTACCTTTTTAGCATCTCTAACTTGAAAGCATACTAACACTGCCTAGCACACAGGCTCCTCTCTGCTACAGCCATGCATGTCTATGGCTCAGTTACACACTTAGGAAGTCATTGTGTTTGCCCCAAGGCCATTTATTACCGTAGTAATGATTTCTATAATCACTGTAATGAGTTTGTACACAAACAGATGAACTTTAAGTGCAAATAGAAAAGACTGCTGCCTCTATGAAAATTAAGTCGAAAGCTTTAGAACTGAATGGCAAGCTGCTAAAAAAAAGTTGTGTTCAATTTCAGTGCGGCTAAAGGGAAAAATTCATGGAAATATAGAAATATTCTGCACTCAAGACTCCTTAGAAAGATTTCTTTAAGCTCTCTGCTTAAAGGAAATCACAGCTAAAAGTTGTTGGTGATGGATCAGTGGCAAGTTCAAAGGAACAGGGTGGGCGGCTGGGTACCCACGCAAAACCCTCCAATGATACGCAGAAAATGATGGATAATCCAATTTTACATTTTGAGTGTCTTTTAAAGAGATGATTTTTAACATTAATACTTTTTAAGTTAACTGACAGGTACCACCAGTCCACACTGGCTACAAGGCTTCTAATATACAGTAAATCCAGTATTCACTTCCCTGGCAACCTTAACACATTCCCAACCACTATGGTACATGCAAGACTGTCCCTCGGGTGGCTTGTACCACTGGTGGTACAAATGGATCTAATCACTTTTGTTGATCTTTTTACTACTAATGAAATTAAATCAGAGCCACTCAGCAGCGAGACACATGGTCCTATTGTGAACATATTAAAGCTTGCGTGTTTTCTTTTCGATTTTTTTTTTTGGTTTTTCTAAAAAACACATTTAAAAGACAGAGAGAAGAATCATAAAAGCTTCCAGAGAAAACAGGGGCCATGACAAGGATGATGGCTAACTGCTCATCAGCAACAATGTAAGACAAGACAATAGAAATACATCACTGAGTAAAAAACAAAAAAGAAAAAAATCTGTGTTCAGTGAAAATGTGCTTCCAAGAGACTGAAAAATGAAAAGATTTCACATAATGCAAAGCCTTAGTGTTACATTAGTACAGGTATAACTGTATCTGGACCTAATTTAACATCATTCAGTCATTCATTACTAGTCACAAATGTTTCTGATCTACTCCAGGAGACCTGGACCATGGATGCCAGTGTGAGAACTGTCACATCACCAGCACTGCAGCAAAGAGAAATGGCACACTTACCTCTTTGTTTGGGAAAAATTTGTTCAGGATGCTGTAAAATAAATTTAATATATATTAGATAATTACTATAACATATAAACTAAGCGAAATTTAAAAAAAGAAATGAAGATAACTACCTTCATTATTGGCCTGGCTCGTTTTTCAAACAAACCACTTGGGAAAAGGTAAGTAATAGCTCTCTGAAAAGAATACACAAAGGTTAATTAGCAAGTGTATCAAAACCAAGCCTATCCTATAACTAATAGTTATTGACCACTAAGCATATGCAGGTACTGAGGCAGAGTTCCACATGCACCCCCAATTCCCAAGTTCTCAGATGGGATACTAAAGTCACTACACACACCCTCCCTTCAAGACTGTAACCATCAAATTGATTACTGACAACTTTCAAGTGACAGCTTGAAACGCGTTAACCTCTTGAATGAGATCCCGCACACACTGTGTCCTTCCTCTGGAAAGGAAAACCAGAAGTGTTCCGCACAACTTCTGCGGCACAGTGCTCCCAGACAGTAATGCAGCTCCCTGCTGGTTGTGCAAATGGCAAAGAAAATACTGCCAAGGGTAGACTCTGCCTCCCCTAACATGACACCCTGAGGTTTTTAAATGCTCTTTCAACTCTCCCAAGAGGTTTGACTTGATTTTTACTTTCAGGTGCAAGGATGGAAGCTGAGGCCTTCTAAGCACACACAGCCACTGAACCTCAGGCTGGCCCTCCCAGAGCTTTCCAACTTAGTTTTCTCCAATAGGGGCAGTAAGGCCATCTGGGAGTGACAGGTCCATTCCTGACAACTTCCCCTCTCCACTCTGTCCAGTGTGTGACAATACTTCCAAATGGCCCCACTGCAGTGGTGCTGCCCCTGGCTTGGGAACAACTACTCAGGCTCCCGGGGCTGTTGTCGGTAACCTCTCAATGCACCACAATAGCAAGTGCATTCTCCTTCCAGTGGAAATGTGTCAGATCAGAAGACCATGGCTGGGGACCTTGTACTGACCCGTGCAGCCCATGAGCTGATGGCATGTGTGACCACACTGGTGCCTGCAGAGCCCACCCTCAGGATGGGGCTCTCTTTCTGCCTGTGACCTGGGGGCACGAATCCAGTGACCTCAGGGAGCCTAGTGGTGTCTCCAGGACTTGCTGCATGCTCTCATGCAGCCTGACACTTAGGGGAAGAGGAAGGACTTTTCATAAGTGACATTGAGACAAGTGCCATTCAGAAAAATGAGAGAAGGGGATCCAAACTTTACGCAAAGAGCAGAATAAATTCCAAACCCATCACAGAGGTAAGCACCTAAAATACAACCATGCAAGTACTAGCACTTGACAGGAGTGAATTCCTCTACAACCTTGATATGGAGAAGTCTTTCTTAACTATGATTCGAAGTTCAGAAGCAATTAAAAAGACTGACAAATTAAACTACATGAACAAAAGAAAAATATGGCTTAAATGGACTCATAAGAAAAGTGCAATTAAAACCACTGAGATAACACTTTCATCTGACATGAGTATCAAAAGTTCAGAAGTCTGTCACACTGCTGCCGAAGCTAGAAAGAGACATGGTGACACGTGGCTGATAGGAAAGCTGAAGACCACCACCTCTGCAGTGGAAGCTCACAATGTCTAACAGAACCACCTGTGTGGTGATGCCATGTCTACAAATTCACCCCACACACAAAGGACCTGTGCTCAGGCTACTCATGGGACTGTGAGAACCATACTCACTCAGGAACTGCCACATCTCCACACACAGGTGAGGCTGGCGGAATAGAGGATGGCACCTTGTGCAGCCAACTGCTGGTCACTGAGACACTGAGAGGGATCACAGGGTGCAAGGGAGCGGTCAGAGCCAGGGACAGGGACATACACGTCAGCCCCCTTGGTCAAATGTTAACAAGAGAAGTTAGAGCGGAGCTAATAAAAGCCATCTTTCCTGGCAGAGCGTGAGCAAGGTGAGTGTCGGGGTGACGCAGGGCCAGACTCCTCTGGGCACACCTGTGCACACCACCAGACCGAGAGGCAGGTAAATGCTTTACATGTCAAAGAATAAAACTGGCATTGCTGTGCAAGCACAAGGACCCGAGTTCAATCCCCAGTACCAAAAAAAAAAAAAAAAGCTGACAGAACATTCATAAACAGAAGCAAATCTCACTTCTAACAAAATATAAGAAATTCACTTGGTAGGCTGTGGATATAATTCTGACATATTTTATGCATTACTGGATCAAAAATATGTAAATGTATTAATCTGAGGGAGACCAAAATTTTATTGTAGAACAGAAGGCACAAACATAAAAAAGGGAAAACCCTAGAAGGCTAAGTTTAATTTATGCAAATTAATATACTCATGACTACAATATTTACTTATTTGCAGTACTGAGGATTGAACTCAGGGCCTTCACACTGAGCTACATCCCCAGCACTCCCTTTTCTTTCACCAGCCCCCTAGAGTGCTGGGATTACAGGCATGTGGGACCAGGCTTGTAACATGTTCAACAAGCAGGTGTACACCTATCTAAGTCTGTGCATGCACACACACACATACATGCAGTGTATGTAGGGCAGGGAGAAAATGAAAGGTTTTCTGTAGAACACTACTGATAAAATTAGAAGGGATGACAGAAGTAGACAATGATCACTTCCAAGTTAGTCATCAATCTCAGAAAAGGTTCCTTGACAGATGCTAAAGCCAGTGGTGGAAAGATTATCAAGGAACAGAAAATTCACATGGACTCAAAATAGTACCCTACAGATTACTTCTTAGTTACAAAGGGAAAAAGCTGGGTCGGGGATTTAGCTCAGTGGTTTCGCTGCCTGCTGCGCAAGCGCAAGGACCCAAGTTCAATCCCCGGTACCAAAAAAAAAGGGAAAAAGCTACTTTTACCAGTGATCTAGAAGCCATCACTTTAATTAACCAAGGCACGGGTCATACACATGATCATAACAAGGACAGGCTGAGTCACCCCTAGGGAAAGGCAGCAATAAGCATACAATGTCAGTTGTGTCCTTTATGCTTACTGAATCTGGTCATGAGGAAGCAATCAGAAAGCCAGAACAGGAACAGCTGTACAAGTGAACTAAATTCTACAAAACTACTACACAGCTAATAAAGACATGTTGGGGTAAACTGCAGGAATTTAGGTAGACTGTATAAGATGTGATTTAAAAGCCTGGAGAATACTTAACCATTAAAAAAAATTTATTACAGTAAAAGATACATTGCCATTAACCCCCTCTGAAAATAACCCCCTTTGCTTCTAACATATTTATCTCCTCATTATTGCCACTTTCTGTAGCAGTTCTAGAAGCCTCTTTTGTGTGTCTTTAGTTATGTTATCATGGTTGCCTCAATGTCCTGAATTGATTCAAAATGTTTCTCTTGCATGGTCATTTTGACTTTGGGGAAGAGCCAGAAGTCACATGGTGCCAGATCTGGTGAGTAAGGTGGATGAGGACATACTATCATGTTTTTACAAATCTGCCTTTCCCTTGGAGGGTACTCAGCAGCAGCATTCATTGTATTTCAATCACACCTTGTGAAGATACTATGAAAGAGCACTTCCAGAACTGCTGCAGAAAGTAGTAAGAATGATGGGATATGTGTGTTGTAAGCAAGGAGGACTATTTAGAAGGGGATTGATGGCCATGTGTCTTTTCCTATAATAAAGTTAAAAAAAAAAAAAAGGAAACATTCACCATTTTTGGATCACACCATGCATGACCTTATAGAATTGCTGAATATTAGACGTGCTAACAGTACTATAGGAGACACTGGTAAGAGGACGCATGTAGTCAGAATTTAACATAGAATGCAATTAAGAGTTATGCTTATGATATCTGCAATTTTCAAAGAATATGCAAAACAATCATAAAGAAGAAAGGCACAGGAATGTGCCAAAATGCTAACCATTGGTAAATCGACATAATGGGTATGTGTATATTCACTGGACACCCAAATGTCACGGTAACTTGAAGAGTTTCAAAATAAAAAGGTGGGAAGAAGGTTAAAGTCTAAAAAGTAATAAAGATGCTCTCAAACCCAACCTGTCCCCGTAAGGCCACCACTACCCAGAGCCCATCTGGGCCAACACACAGGCCATGTCTGCACCATCTACACAGCAGTTCCGTGGCCATCAGCACCTGAGCAGAGCGGCCACTAAAGCCCAGGCCTAGTCAGATCGGCACATGGTACGGAAAACATGCACAGCCCATGAGCTGAGGGTGAATTCACCACAACCACCAGCCAGATGGGCACCCAATTCTCTACCAAGCACCAAGTTGCTGTTGGCATTGCTTACAAACACAAAAATTAGTTTATTTGGGTGATCACAATAAAACCTAGGGCTAAATAAAAATTGAAGAATTCCATCCCAAAGTTGGATTGTTCATGAAAATTAAGACGCAGAAAAGTCACAAGAAGTTCACTGGTAAACCTGAAACTAAACCATAGATTGCAAAGGATGTCTGGGACTTATAGATGATCTCTGCTTTAAAAAATGATAATAATCCAACAAAGAATTCACTGAAATATTCTGAAATGTAACTGAAAGGATCAGGAAAGGTGAATTTGTCTTTTAAAAATTCATCTCAGCAAAATTAAATTAACATGTATTTGTTTGGGTTTTTTTGTACCGGGATCGAACTCGGGACCTTGTGCTTGGAAGGCAGGCGCCAGAACCACTGAGCTAAATCTCCGGCCCTCAATGTGTTTGTTAATTTACAACCCCTCACTAGCTTAGTTATGAGAGTACAAAATACTTCACCAATACTATGGCAAAGGCTCACGAAGCAGAGGTGTGTGACAATACAATCTCGCAAATTCGGTAAAAAGTACGAAAAATAAAGGATGGAAGAAAAAAGAGAATAGTAAATAAAACAAAGCAGTTGTTTGTAAATCCAAAAATGAAACATACACAACAGAAAAGACAGGTGCACTTGCTGCTGTTGGCTGTTTAGTGCATGGAGTGGTACCCACTTGACCTAACCCACTCCTCCCTTTCATCCTCTCCTACCAGCATTCTGAGTTTTCACAAATTTTGAAGCAAGCAAAGGACTATTTGGATTTAATGAAAATAATTTTGTTGTTTTCTGGGCCCACTTAACTCCCAGTTAAAACACAGTTGTTAAAATCCAAGTAAGTAGGGCCGGGGATTTAGCTCAGTGGTTCCGCTGCCTGCCTCGCA